AGAGAGAGAGAGAGAGAGAGAGAGAGAGAGAGAGAGAGAGAGAGAGAGAGAACTGAACTGAAATTTAATTTGAGAGAGAGAGAGAAAGAGAGAGAGAGAGAGAGGGAGAGAGAGAGAGAGAGAGAGAGACGTTGCATTCCCCTCAACACAGATATACGAGGGAGGTTCAATAAGTCTTTGGTCTGGGTATGAAGGAATTCTGATAGAGTAATGAAATTTCGACAGCCTCAAGACAGTTTTTTTTGTTTGAACAAACCATGCACATTTTCGGGGAAATCCGACAATAATAAGGCACTAGTCAGCCTTTTCAATGAAACCATGCACAAAAACGTTTGGTTTTTCTTTGCTTCAACTGTGCCATGGAGCCTGTTGAATATCGCTCAGTTACCAAGTTTTTACACTTGCAAGGAAAATCCTCTTTGGGTATTTTTCAGGAAAAGGTCCAAGTTTACCGTGCCAAAATCCTCGTTATAATAGCTACTATGACATAATGGGTAAGAAAATTCAAATCTGGATTCATGTTGGTGATGGATGAAGATCGTGAAGGGCACGTATCCTTTGTGGTAACTGAAGATAATGTATCCATAGTGAAGAAACTGGTTTTACAAGACTGACGTACAACTGTTAAACAGCTCTCAAGTGAAAGGGGAATCAGTGCAGGGTCAATTGAAACAATTCCCCATGACCATCTTAACATGAATAAGGAGAATGTGCGGTGGGTACCAAGCCTTTTGACAAGTGAGCAAAAGAAGCAGAGGGTTGAGTCCTGCAAAACTCTCCTTCGAATTGAGTCCAATGACACAAATTTCTTTAAAAACATGGTGACTATGGATGAAACATGGATTTATCATTTTGATCCAGAACAAAAAGGATCCCCCGTGCAATGGAAAACCCCTTCTTCAAAGAGAGGTGGCTGAAATGTGTTACTCTGCATAATGACTATGTAGAGAAATGAAAGTATGTGTACCAGCCAAGCTACTTACAGCTCTATCTTTATTCCTTCCTATTTAGACCAAAGACAAAAAGACTTCTTGAAACCCCCTCGTAGGCCCTGACTGGCAAGCAGGGTCAAGCTGGCCTTTTAAATTAATTACCCTAATTGTGTCGATGGAGGCGTAATTAAACACCTAAATGTATAGACTAATATTACTACTACTACTATACCAATACCAGTCATAATAATATGGTTTGCTTGAGCACTAGACCTTTGATACGGTACAGGTAAACCTACTATAGGTATCTTATGAAAAAAAATAACGACTCCCCCCCCAAAAAAAAAAAAATTAAAAAAAAATAAAAAATCAGAAGAACTGGTAGGCGGTAAGCCAATTTAACATTTTTTATTGAGAAAAGCTTTACTAGTAATTCTAACAACACTTCGCTTAGTAGGGACGATCAACTGTGACTGACACCAGTTTTTACTGTCTATTGATAGCACAGCTATTGATAGCTGATTAATCTGGGCTCTGGGTCCAAGCTCCAGGAGATTCTAATTAAAGTGACAGAGAAAAGCATATAGATCTATGGAGGGGAGCTTCAACTGAATGCCAAGAAAAGAGAATGTAGAGTGATCTCAAAAGGTGTCGACATATCAGAATGTGAATAGTTTTAAATACCCCGGTTGCACAACAATACATCACATGCAAAAAGTGAAATTTTTAAGGAAAAATAAGAAGATTACAATATCTAAAGACAGAAACATAACAATGAACACAAAAATATACTCTGGTGAAGTATGTGAGGTCATCCTTTTGTAAGGATGTGAGAGCTGTTTTAACTAAGGACACTTGGAGAAGACTGGAAGCAGCCGAAATGTGGTCTCTTTTAATTCTAGTAAGAGTTTTACAGCTCTTGCAACACAATAAGGTCATATTCATATAAGTGTTACAAGACGCACAAAAAAAGGAGGAGAGATCAGGACGATAGATGTTTGATTGGAAAGAAGGAGCAAACCACACCAGAGCAACCACCCAGAATGTGGTATCTGAAAGGAACACTCAGAATCTTATGGATAGAGATTGAAGACATAAACAGAAGTGCTCCAAATGGCAGGTTACGAAAGACCCATTCAGAATCACCAGGAATAGAAACAATTGAGATTTTAAGGCCACATAATAAATAATGGACTAGAAAATTGCTGCTGTGAGGACATATAGAGGAAACAGAGCAAAGGAAAACAGAGAATAACATACACAGAGAGCCCTAACAACTTTAAATTGCAACAAATAACACAATGAGCAAACCTGAGCTGATCAGGATGACAGACAACAGGAAGGAGTGGAGTAACCTGTACTGTACTATGATTGTTAATGTCTGCTCCAGACCTAATACCTTAGGCAGAAGAAGAACAAAAGACAGACTAATTGGTTATAGAGACTCCATCATAATTATAAGCACACAGAGTGTATGTCTGCATAAACATGCACGTTTATGGTTTGAATTCAAAGAAATTTCTCAGAAACAAGCTTAAACAAACAAACAAACATAGAAAGAAATTAAGGTACCAGTCCACTTGATTTTCTCCCGCAAAAATACCGTCTACTGCTACTCCTGCCCGACTGACCACTGTCTACTGTCTGCCTATCTACTGGTATTACCAAAATATGTATTATAATATGTGTTCCATCTTAAGGCCTGTACAGGGTAATTTATAAAAAAGCCTACACATATCCGCTACCATTCCCATATTGAGAGGCACTACTTTCAATCAAGAAATCACTCCCCCCCCCAACCCAATTAATTACAACTACCAAAGAAAGTTTTCTTTAGTTTCCTCATCCATCCGTACTTGGCATGAAGAGCTTTTGAATATGTATGGTAGGGTCATGTTCCTGTGCACTACACCAAGCACAGGGATTAAGGTTAGATGGTTGAGAAATGTTTGGATTAGTTCTGATGCTCATAATTCATGCAGCTACCAATACTGGCAATCATTAAGTTACATCTTCCAACACAACACTCTAAATATTATTGCCACGGGTGACTGCACAGCCTGCAAGAATGAATATATCTCAACAACTATCAATCTTGCTTTCCATGAAAGGAACAACAAAACAAAAACTGATTTTTTGTCTCTGGTGAAAAAAGTGCACAAACAAACTTAATTGCAATGCTTGTGACACTTAACGGCATGTACCCTTCTATGTTTCTAAAAAAAGACTAGTTTAATTTGTCATTATAACAATCTTAGCCATTTTCATTAGTTGTTATGAAAAAAATAAAAACTTCACACTTCATCTAAAGTATTTCAGACTTGTGCTATGAAATGACCTTTTTGTAAATTAGGTACTGTCACTAATCTAACTAGACTGGAACCCACAGGGTAAAAGATCAAGGGGAAAACCTCGTGGAACCTTGAGAAGAGTCACGGAAATGGATGTACAGAAAAGTGGGAAGACGTGGAGTGACATCAAGCGACTAGCCCAGGATAGGGAAAGGTGGAGAGTGTTTGTTCGTGGCCTATATCCTGCCCCAGGGTGAGAAAAGCAATGTTGATGACTAATCTAACAGTGCTGTATGGATGATATGACATATTTCTTGAATATTTATCAACAGAAACGGAACTCAAACTATTAAATCAATTTTGTTTATTTGAATGTGAGAAATTCCACTCTCATTTACAAAATGTTCAAAACATGCACATGAACAATTACAATGCCTTGATATTATTTTAAAGGTATTCACTTCACCTGTATATATGCAATGTAATTTAAATACTTAACCTTAACAAACAGTTGATATAATATAAGTTCAGTTGGTAATATTATAGATAATTATATCTAAAAGATAATTATATAGAATGGACAAATTGTAAGATTTCAATAAAACAGTTTGTAATCAACATGACGAATTAGGTACATTTGCAGTTCATTACACCATGAAAAAGTCTATGTACTCACCAGTAAAGTTATGCGAAGATAGGAAAAATTATAGAATTCTATTAGATCAAGTCTCTAATTCTCTATCTAAGTCCTCAAAGACAACTGCACCAGATATATCTGGACAGCATTTCCTGTGAGTCAAAAGATCGACGACTCTCATAAAGTACGACACACAAACCCTTCTCAAGCCTCCTTTTGTTTTCTGGAGCTTGATAAAAAAAAGTGTGAAAGGGGATAAAAAAATAATAACAGAAATGAGTTAACCACCTTATAATCCATTATAAGTGAGCTCAGAAAGGTACATTCTGGTCTAAAAAATACGTTAGAAGTAACATTTTTATCTGTAGACCTAGTATATATTACCTTCTGGGACATATGTTCCTATAGTTTACCAGGTTCTTCCCACCCCATCTTTCTTTCTGAAAAAGCCTTTTATCCTCTTTTATTCTGTTTCACTCTTGTACCCGTGGGCCACTTTATTTAACATTCACATAAATTGTTTTATTGTTAGTGATTTTTTTTTTTGGATTAAAGAATTTTTTAGTGGATCCCTGGCTTGCAGCAGTCAGCCAAGCCAATTCTAATCCCAGAAATTATGGTCCTGACAGAAAATTGATAGCTCCACATGTGTCTGGGCCATAATAAAGACTCAAAATTCAATCTAGCTGAACAGCGCATTATGTTGTAAAAATAGATAGTCTTCTGTAAAAATGATGAAAAAGGAGAAAGGACATGATCAAACCAGGTCACAGTAAACATTTGAGTAAAGATGCTATAAAAATCTAAGCTTCATTAAAATTTAAAAACAGTTTGATCAAAGTACAAAATAATTCTTTTTCAGGGCAATGAGTTAAAACTGAGTAGGGGTCTATACGTCTTTACGAGAAAACAACTACGAATAAAAGTTAATTTCTATTATTAACTAATAAGCCCTAGGGAGCAGTTCTGATACACATTCTGAATCCCGAGACCAAGGAAAACAATCCTCTAAAACTATTATAAATAATGTCTATTGAAAAACTCAATTTAAATTAAATGTCCTTACATGTGAAACCGAAAGAATAAAACAGCTTTAAATACTTAAAATGATCTGGTTAAGTTATTGTGTACTTTCAAAGTTTTCTAAGATTTGTCTAAGTTTCAATTCCATTGCACCCTCCATTTCTTCATATTTACTTTAAAAATCCACGCATGCATTATTTCAGAGTCAGTTTCAACCAATCAAAAACTCGAAGAAAGAGGGACTTTACCTTCGTTTTGTAGGCACAATTTCAGTCATATTCTAATTGGACTAATTGCCTAAGCCTCACAGAGATGCATGCCACCTCAATGTCAGGCACAGGGCAAATGTTTGGTGATCACCAAAGACTTCAGTAGTTAAGTGATAGTGGCAACCTCCATAAACTACAGTAGGTAAATGGTCAATAACAAAATAACAATTTTAATGCTAATGCAAAAGTCCTGACTAAATGCTATATATTCTAGAAAAATACGGTCATAATGATGTATAAGGCACCAAAAGTCCAAAGACATTAAAAAGAAGAACTACTACACCAACAAACAAATGACACAGTCATACTGCAGTTGTACAAGGTCCACAGAGCCCAGATATCACAAAAATCTGTCACAAAACATGGCAAAGACAAATGACGGCATGGAATGTTGTTATTTGAGCTACAAACCATGTACTGATTCATTCGTAAACGCAACATCAATAATAATATATGCAATTTCTGTCAATGGATGCACAGCATGACAAAAAGCAACAAATTGTGTTCTGATCTATTGATGAAATCAAGTCACTAAGTTGCTTTTGAGAAGATTGCATAACGGGCAACAAATTTTGAATGTATCATGTATGTACCATATTACATGTTGTTTTGTGTGTTATATTACAATATACATATATTGTCTTGTGTGTTATATTACAATGTAGTTACTTTTTTTCTAGTAATCCAGCAGCGCAACAGCCCCATTGAAAAGGCATAAAGAGTTAAGGGTAAAACTTCTTCCTGTCAGTGTTCCCAAGCGCCTGTCTGCGATAATGGTCAGAGGGTCTGTAGAAGAACTGAGGGTGGGTGTTCTTGAAACTCTCTCTTGGTGATGCTCTGACATAGTTGTCGTAATGCATGCGTTCTTCACTGCTGTCACTGTCAAGGCTAATGACATGAAGGAAAAAGATCAATGTTTTATTACAGTAGTTTCAAACAGATTGAAAAACAGAACAGTCATAAATATTACACAAAATTTGGACTTAGCATCAAATGTGTTCATCAGTATTATTTTGTTTAAGAACCATAGGTGTTGTGTAGCAGAGCATGAACCCCTTTGCACACAGACTGTGTTAGATTTTAGACAAGGATACCTATCATTTCATCCCAAATGACACAGAGAGTTTCAAACAAAGCATCCAAATTGAGAGCAAAGTCATGTTTCTCCATAGCGGTTTCATGAGGCTCCATATATTTTCTGTAGGATTCTAATCAAGGCAGATTTACTGGTGGTCACTCCATCGTTGGTATGTTTTCGTTTTCCAAAAAATGTTAACAGGCTTTGGCCCTCTGAGAAGATGCATTGTCATGCAGTAAGATATTTACTTGGATGATGGTTAAGAAGTGAATTCCAGCACTTGCGCGATGCAGCCGTCCACAAAAAGCCTCTGTTGATTTTCACAGGTTTTGTTCATTCTAAGCAGACCACCCCAAACCATGACAGTCGAGTAGCTTTTGTTCTTCACTGACAGCTGATTGTGTCCAAAATCTAACAGAGTCCATTCGTAAAAGGGTTCTCATGCTCTACCCAAATCCAATGGTTCCTATACAAAATACTAATGAACACGTTTATTGTTAAGTCCAATTTTTACATGAGAGTTGTAACCCATGTGGTTCAAATTTTCTTTATAAAACATTATTGTTCGTTGTTCCTATACAAATTTCCATAAATTTCATATGCAATTACATGTTATTTTGCAAATACTGATACAAGCGAAAAACCCACTTTTAAGTTTTTCTGATTTCACAAAAATTTGCAAAAGCTGATTCTGAAAGGTTAATCTTGAGTGACCGTATCCTAGGTTATCATTGTAGATGTAACATTAATATTTTAGACCATACAGAATATATATATATCATATATATATTTTTTTGGGGGTAAGTGTTTTACGGTGTTCGCAACTGCATTAGGTCATATATATATGAGCGCGCGGGACACATTAAACTTTTTCAGTTGGTAGAAAATTTTGAATTTTGCCCGGATGGCGGCCGAAGCCTACTCTTATCGATTGTAGACCACCAAGAGATCTTTAAACCTGCGCAACTTAGACACGGGCCCTCCGAGATTTTTTGCCCTTGTCCGAGAAAGCTAGGTGTAAATCTTTCCTACCTGAAGATTAGGGGTGTGGCTGAAAGACAGCAGTAAGAAGCAGCCAAGGAGTCAGTATAAAGGCTGCAGAAAGAGTCAGAAGCCCAGAGGAGTGGGAAAAGGAGGTGAGGGAATGGGGGCAGAAAGTGGAGATGAAAGCAGACGACAGAACATTGCTAGACAGCAGGAAAGGAGGTGAAAGGTGAGACAATTTTAGAGAAGAAAATTTTTCATCGCTACCCGGATTTGAAACCGGTACCTTTGAATGAGAGGTCAACACCTTAACCTCTAGGCCATGAGAGCCCCCACAGAATATATTTAGCTTTAATTTCGTATGCTGCATGAGTGGATAGTGTAAGATTATAATATAATGATAATCGGGTGAATACATTTTTAAGTTTCCTTTGGACACCACAGTAGGCCTATATGTGAAGCATTGTGGGGAAATCAGGCGCTCGTCAAAATAATATGAAATCGAAGAAATATGCATTTTGCACCAGTTTGGCAATTTTTAATAGAAATTTTGCTATTTGTCTCAATATCTTTTATGTCCATATAAATATATTTATAAAAGCACATTTCCATGTGAATTGTTCTGAAAAACCTTGAATAAAGGCACAAAATATGGAATTGTTCAGTTTTCATGGACTCTGAAACTATTGAAGTTATTCAACTTTGGAGGCCATTTTCTTGCTCATTTTACTACGGACCCCACCTCCTTCAGTCGCAAACATCTCGACTTCTATACAAGATAATGATTATTTTTTTCATTGAAAGCAAAGCTAATGAATAATTAAGTTTTCAGATTATACCAATAATTCTATATACACAAAAATTGACGAATGCCTGATTCCACTGCATCATGACACATATATACTTTATTAGTTTACTGATAACTTGAAAAAAATGAAACCAGATACCCCTTAAAAAAACAACAAAACCTCCCCCAAAGAAGAAAAAGGCCTCCCTTTAATTAAAGACTGTAAACAAGAACATTTATCTGTAGCAGCACTGTACAAAAGCAGAGCACTTAGAATCCTACCTGCGCTCTTGACTGCCGCTGCGTTTGAGCCTGATGATCACCACGATGGCCAAGATCAGTGCTATCATCAAACAGCCACCCAGAGTGAGGCCAACAATGAGAGGCATGTTCTCTGTCATGGGGTCAAATGAAGGAAAAGTGAAAAAAACCACATTACCTTAAAAGCCATAAAAAAAGCTACTGCTACGTACCTTTTCCCCAACCCTCTTTTATTCTTCTCTAACTATCTACAGCTCTTATTATTGAAAGTAAAACAATATTTATTTAACTTTTGGCTCCAGAAGAAAAATCCCGCTGTAGGCGAGTTCCTGCTCTAGGAATGTAATCGGGAAATTTCCAAAAAAATTATAAAAGTCCACATGATTACCTCCCTTCCATATCAATAAAGTTTGTGTTTTAGATTATTCTTCCTTTTCTTGTCAACTTTGTTGATTATCTCAGCCTTAAATTCAAGTGAGAAGCATTTCCTTTTGTCTTTGTGGGGAGCCATCTTTTCCTCGGTCTTGTTGCTTGTACTGTATATCGTAGGCTAGCGATAGGCCTACTGTAGAACTGGTGAAGTGGATGCGTGTGTATGCATATGTGCACCAATGATCACAATTCAATGAATCAGGAATCACACATTACACGCTCTCCCCTTCTTTTACTTTTTGGTCTGGCCAAGGCCTAGGACATTTTCCTATACGCTCTTATTTTGAGTGAATAAGCTACGGCACATCACTTTTAGAGAGGCTCACGTAATGAGTCTCTCCGCACCATCTCTCTCTGCCGCCTGCTCTACCTCACTCATCACTGGACCGGCCAATCACAACGCTGCACCGCTGACTGCCTGTTTGGAGCCCGCCTACAGCCCCCATCTCTCTCACTGTATCCGAGTTTGGGCCTTTCCTTACCCCGCTAAAACCGAGCACAGGTAATTGAGTTTACATAGAAAAAAAAGGGGGATCCCGGTGTAGCTGGTGCCGCTATAGTCATAATCTACTGTATTTCAGTGTGAGCATATTTCTAATAATACAAACCTGAGTCACCCTCTTCAGCATCAGTATTGTCATTCCTGAGGAAACAAAAACACAACAATAAATGATCCATGGGTTCACAAAAATAAAATGACAGGTCAGCAAAACATTTGTTAAAGTCAAACAGTTTTGTTGAATTCAACTTAAACAACGTTTTGTCCCAGACGGGCCGGGGATAGGGTCTCACTCACCGGTGTACTGATGGCTAGGCATACAGGAAATTTTATACGCCACCAAAGTACCGGTGGCTAGGGCTCAAAGGGTTAATAATAGTATACAATCAACTATGGATGAGTTGATGTTGTCAGGGGAGTGGAAAAAAATCAACTCATCCAATTCAAAGTTCAACTTAACAGGGACCACAAAATCAAGGTACATAAAATCTTTTCCACTACCGGTACTCATGTAGTAGAGTATGGTCAAAATGGTGGTGACAGGAGCAAAAATTATTTACTTCATTAATCATTGCATACCTGTATGTGTGTGTGTGTGTGTGTGTGTGTACAGTCAAACTCGGATATAACAGGACAGACGGGACCGGCAGTTTTTCCCTGTTATAAGCGAGTCCTGTTAAAACCATTATCAAGGGAAACTAACTGGGTGGGATATAGAATGTGATTCTGACAATCATATGGGTATTAGTACGGTTTTTATCTTTGTCGAGATAACAACAGATAACAAATAGCAACTGATAACAACTGATAACAACAAATAACAACTGATAACAACAAAATAAAGACAAATATCAACACAAACGTCCTAATTTAGTTTTTTTTTTCTCGATAAATTGTTACTTTCAATTTTACGTTAGATTGAATCAAAGATAGTACAAGACAAGATGGGCCACTCAGCCTAAAAAGTGTCCGCAGGAAGTATGCTCTTTGCTTCAGATGGCGCTGCAGTCTGTTTTGAAGCTCTCTTTCGTTTTTCCAGAAGAAGAATAGGAATAGCATCTCCTTGCGTGCGCAGATCGACTGCTGTTCATCAGCAGTTCGGGTACGTTCAGTGCGGAGTTTTAGGTTTTAAAAAAATTCTAATGACCTCTCGCCCTTCATTCTAAAGTCAAATTAAACGAAATAAACCATCTCCTTTTCCTCCGGAAGAGGTTTTTTGTCAGCGTAACCATTATAAAAAAGCGTTCTTCCGAAATTTATCCCAAAACTTGCTAGTTTCACTTTGATTTTTTAAAACTCAAGTAGGGTAACTCTGTTCGCAAAGAGTGCGCTTTTGTGAAGAGGGCGCCACCAAATTTTGAGGACACTTTTTTAATTGGCTCAAAGAGAGAAGTGGCCCATCTTGTCTTGTACTATCTTTGATTGAATGTAAACCAAAAAAGGGGACGCAACTCCGGTCATTGCAAAAAAATATTGTACTTCTGGTAGTTGCTTGGAGTTGGGGTCAGTTGATATTCGCTGTTATCAGTTGTTATTTGTCGTTATCAGTTGTTATCAAATAACAACTGAAAACAACAAAATAACGACAAATATCAACACAAACGTCCTAATTTAGTTGCTTTTGCTTGGTTTATAAGGAAGTCTACCTTTGGCGAGATAACAACAAATAACAACCGACAATCTTAACAACCAAGTAAAAGTAACTAAATTAGGACGTTTGTATTGATATTTGTCTTTATTTTGTTGTTATCAGTTGTTATCAGTTGGGTACTTATCTTTGTCGAGATGATAACATATATGACAACTGATAACAACTGATAACAATAAATAACAATTGATAACAACAGATAACTGATAACAGCAAATAACAACTGATAACACAAAAATTCTTTGATTCCAGCCTCAAAAATCAATATTATAATATTCATGTGGTCAAGCAGGCCCCTATTTTATGTGCACAACTGAGAGCAACTACCAGAAATAGAATATTCTTTAGCCATGACCGGAGTTGTGTCCCTTTTTTTTTGGTTTACATTCAAATCGAAAGTAAATTCGAAAGTAACAATTCATCGAAAAAAAAACAACAACTAAATTAGGACCTTTTTGTTGATATTTGTTATTTTGTTATTTGTTGTTATCAGTTGTTATTTGTTGTTATCTCTACAAAGATAAATACCCATATTATTACAAAATTGTTCAGGAGCTCAGACAGAGGGGCACGGTAGCCTCAGGAGGTCAGGGCTCTGAGAAAGGGGCCATTTGCGAGAAAGAGAGGGGAGAGCAAGAAAAGAAAAAGACAGGAAAGAGATAATATGGGCAAATACACACACACAGAGAGAAAGAGAGAGAGACAGAGAGAGAGACAGAGAGAGAGACAGAGAGAGACAGAGAGAGAGACAGAGAAAAATAGAGATGGAGCAAGAGGGGAAAGACAGAAAACAGAATAAAAGAAAGAGAGGAGTTACCTGCAGTAAGCCTCTCCCGCATCAGAGATGAAGCATGTTGTATTTGTTGGGCAGGGCTCTACCCGCTGTAAGATGTCGCACTTGCTGGAGGCAGTGCCCACTGGGGATACACATGGATGATAAAGGCGAGTCAAACAAAGAAGTCCATCAGCACCAATGTTTATGAGTAGTAAGTAGCCGTGCAAAATGACAGTAATTTCAAAATTAGTAATTGAAGACCTGACAACAACACCATCACCAAGGTCAAGTCACATTTAGATGATTTTGAGAAAATGAGAAAAAAACCTCATTTAGTGAAATATTTAAAGAAAGTTCTGATAAGACGGCTTAAGAAGACTTTTTCTGGAATTGACCTTGCTGCTGCATTTAGGCTTCGCATCTTTGAACAAGAATAGCAGGGCATAGGAACAAAAAGCGTTTCATCAATGGAAAAAATAGATAGCCCTTTGTCGCTGTTTTTGAATGGTATGCAGAACTCTTATTTTTAGGAAATTTTAAAGACATGAATTAACCTTGTTGTTATTCTCAGCTCTTCAATTTTGTCACAGTGGAATCAGGTGTTCGCCAAATTTTGGGCATACAGAGTTATCGATATATATACTTAAAGCCTGTTCATTTGCCTTGTTTTTTATTTTAAAAACCCCCACCCATCTATCGTGATTAGAAGTTCAGATATTTGTGACCGAAGGATAAAATAAGATAATACTTTATTGTCTTAGAGGAACAATGAGCCAGTATAGGGATTGCCAGGAATCAGACAAAAAATAAGCAAGAAAATGAAAATAGCTGCCAAATTTTGGTGACTTATAAAGCTTGAGCATCTTTGAAAACTGAAAATTTACATTTTTAAATGTGTTTTGATCGACGTTTTTCAGTAAAATGATTCTTAGATGAACATAAAAGGTGTTGACTGCCTGCTTAAAACACGAAGGCACTGTTCCTGAAAGGAGTGAATCATTAATAATAGCAGTTATAACATCAATAACAATGTCAAGATGATTGACTAATAAAGGTGTTGGGATAGGGTCAAGGCAGCAGGACTTTGGTGGTGATGACAGTATGATCTCTTTCAAGAAGTCCTGTGAGACAGGTTTAAAATTACATAGAAGGTTCCCCAGGAACTCCTCTAATTCAGGTGCAGGTGAACCGTGTTTATCCAATGTGTCTCCTATTGTAGCAATTTTTTCCGCAAAGAATGTTCCAAAGATATTTGCTAGCTCTCCTGTGGGAGAAGCACAAGGAATAAGGGCAGATTTGGATTTTCCACAAAGTGAATGAACCAGGCGAAAGAGACTTTTAGATGCTTTTGACTTTGATATAATGTTTTGTGAAAGGAACGTTTTGCTACGATTATAAGTTCTTTGACTTTTCTGTGAAGTTGTCTATAGATGTCTCCCGCACGGTGAGTCCTTGTGCCCGCCATCTCCTCTCTGCTTGTCGTCGCTCCGCTTTGCCTGCCTTTATCTCTAGCGTCATTCATTCATTCCTTTACTCCATTCATTTTCTAGTTAGTGTTTGTCTACTTGACTTTGCAAATTTGCAAATATAATAATAATAATAATAATAATAATAATAATAATAATAATAATAATAAGAAGAAGAAGAAGAAGAAGAATGTTAATAATAGCAATAATAATAATAATAATAATAATAATAATAATAATAATAATAATAATAATAGCATTTTATCCATCAGTCTCTGCAAATGGCCAATGCATCCGCAAAAGATAGTATTTTTTATATGAAATAGAAAGAATAAGGGTTAAGGTAACTTGTGGCTTCTGCTATATGGCCAATAAGACCAATTCTGGCACAGAAGAGTTTGCCCCATATTAAGAATGCTTCACTTCGATTCATGGATGTGCTCAGCTTGCGCAGGCTCCTCTCTTGACTTCAGTACTTGGCTTTACCATGCATCTATAATTATATATACATTTATGTATATATATATATATGTAATAATATATACTTAATCAATGGTTTGAATACTATTACATTTTTTAGGTGTGAAGGATAGCATCATCACTCACCAGAAGTGTCCCCAATTTTCACAGCTGCTGTGACTGGCTGACCATCAATTTCAACACCAGTCTGTGCAAGTTCCACAAAGGCAGTGGCTACTTTATCTTGTGAAAAGGACTCGACTGACTTGTCAAAGAGTACTGTAGCATCAACAATCACACTGCCATGCCTGAAAGTGGGAAAATGAAAATGAGTGACACAGAAAAGACAAATGTAAATGATCTCAGACGAAAAATTTGACAGTTGCACAGGACAAGGTGACATAGTAGCATCTCCCCCCCCCCCCCCTCTCTCCCTCTTTTGTGGACCAGATCTTTATAAAAAGAAAGAAGTTCAGAGTTGAAACACAGCATACATGACAGGATTTTCTTTTAAGTGAAGCACTATTGAAAATTCGACACTAAACAGAGCTGAAAAGGTTTAGTACATGTAATTCAGAAAGGACTTGAATTTGAACCTCTAACACACATGGTTTGACCAAGTTTTGACCACCTGCAGTATTGCTCCCTACTTTGATTCCTAGAAATTTATAGAGAATAATGATAAGTTTGCTATACTGAAATAGAAGCAAAATTTGATGTACCGGTAGCTTATATACAGTCAAACCTTGTTATACTGCCCCCTGTTATATACTGCAAGCTCCTTTTACCACCAGGATTTGCCAGTGTACAAACAGGAAAGCCATAGTATTTGCGCCTTTACATTGTCATCTGCCAACTATTTAAGTTGTAATGTAAATTTGCCTCCCCATACCACCAGTAAACTGACCACCAGAGGTACACACTATGCTTGATGCATGGCACCCATTTGTTGGCTGCTTGATAATCTATCTCACACTCCACTCGGCCAGCCGGCAAAATATCAGGAATCGTCAGATATCAGTCCTGCTTTTATTCCGTTAGGACTCGTGCTCAAGTCTACATGACAGGTCTGAGATGAGTAAAAATTAACCTGTATTATGTCTACAGGGACAATGAAAAACATAGAACAGCTTTTGATCCGGCAAAAGTTTTCAATTTGAAATATATATATATATATATAAAAGTTTAGATGGGTTAGAAACTGTACACAAACACACACACACACACAGAGAGAGAGAGAGAGAGAGAGAGAGAGAGAGAGAGAGAGAGAGAGAGAGAGAGAGAGGGAGGGAGGGAGGGAGGGAGGGAGGGAGAGAGAGAGAGAGAGAGAGAGAGAGAGAGAAAGAGAGAGAGAGAGAGAGAGAGAGAGAGAGACTATACTATATATAAATCACCGACTAAAAACACTTTTTTTTAGTAGTAGTAGTAGTAGTATAGGGTTTTACGGCGCTCGCAACTGCGTAAGGTCATATGAGCGCGCGAAACACAAGTTGGTCTTGTTCACAACAGTTCGCTGTACGGCTGGCTCGGGTCAGTAGTTAAATCTTAAAATGTTTAAAAATCAGTGTAAATATACATATATATTCAATCTAAAACAATTTTTCTAGTTAACATAAACATTTTTTAAATAGTACAGTTTTACTTTACAATTTGCCATAAAGGCCAATGGCCTTCATAAAATTCAAAATTTTGCTGGGACCAACAACGGAAAAAATATCTTGCAATTTCTTGCATTTATATTTCCTTCGGATCTCTCCAAAGTCTAGACATTCGGTTAAGATGTGTCTAATAGTAAAATCTGTGTCGCATCCGACACAGAACGGCTTCTCATCTCCTTGTAGGAGGTATTTGTGGGTCAGGGCCGTGTGTCCGATGCGCAATCGAGTAAAAATGACTTCGTCTCTTCTGGAGAGGTCCGAAGGATTTCGCTGTTCTAATTTGGGTTTTAATTCATATAGTTTATTATTTTTCTGCGTTTCCCAGTGGCTCTCCCACAGACTGGAGGTGTACTTTTTGACTTTATTTCTAAAGTCAGTCTGTGGGAGAGTGTTTGTCGTTGATCCCAGCAGAAGGGATGAAGCTTTCTTCGCCAGGTCGTCTACCTGCTCGTTTCCTCGGAGGCCCACATGGCTAGGTATCCATGTGAACATGATGTTTTTTCCTGTTTCGGATAGTGTATGAATTTTCTGTTGTAGCCTAACTATTTTTGGATGTAAGAGTGTGTAGTTTGTGAGTCAGGTGATGCAAGACAGAGAGTCAGAAAGGATAAGGAAAGATTTGTTAGGAGAGTTTTCTACGGAGTCCAGTGCCATGTCAATGGCAGTGGCCTCCGCAGAGAAAATGGAGGCTTCAGGATGGAGTCTCCTCTGGTGTGTACTGTTGGAAGATAGGGCTGCGGTGCCCACTTCATTGTCTTTTTTGGAGCCATCTGTGAAGATGAGCTTCGCACTGGGGTATTTATCTATTAGTTTTTTGTATTCTGCTTTAAAAGTTTTGGTGTGTGTGCTTTCTTTGTTGTGTGTGGTCAGCTGTAAATCTACTTTTGCCTTGGTGAGGTGCCACGGAGGGAGGTCGGGGAAAAGAATTTGTTGGATGTCTTGTTTGGAGAAGTGTAAGTTTTTGAGGTCCTCAAGGATTCTGAGGCCGAAGGGTTTGATGAGTTTTTCGTTGTTTTGGAATTTGTTTATGGTTTCTGGGGTTGTTTAAAAAATGCAGTCGTGCGCTGGGTTTTCCGGTGTTGAGCTCTGTTTAACTGCGTATTGTAGAGAGAGTTGTGTGCGTCTGAGTGAGAGTGGTGGTATGTTGGCCTCGGCCTGGAGGCTCTCCACCGGAGAAGTGTAGAAAGCCCCCAGAGCGAGGCAGAGTCCTTGGTTTTGTATTGGATCTAGTATTTTTAAGATGTGTGGTTTTGCCGATCCGTAGACTTGACAGCCGTAGTCAAGCCTGGACCGGACAAGGGAGATGTAAAAGTGGAGAAAGTGTTTTGAGTCCACTTTTAAATACAGATTACACAGCAGAATCATTTTCCTTGATGTTGGGTAGTTGGGACTATTTAACAGAGGAACCCTGTTAAACTGCCAGCCCTGTTATTCTGCCAACTTCATGCTCATCCCATGGAACGGGGTAAAAATGAGTCTTGACTGTATGTCATTGTCTGAGTTGTCACAGCTTCTTTCTAATGGTTAAAAAAATCACAGCTTCAACCATTCTTCTACATCATGTTTGCAAATTGAAAAAAATAAAAATAAAATTCCAAGCTTTTTTACTGCTATTTTGCCCCTTTATCTTTCAGAAAATGTGACTAGTCTTAATATCAGTATAAGGAGTTTTGTAGTATTTTTCAGACTTGCATCCTCATAAATCCAGGTTCAAAAGGCTTCATGATAATCTCTTGGCCAGCTGGCAAACAATCTCATTTTATAACCTCTACACACTTATGAATATGCAGTGATGCTGCCTCCTAGTCTCATACCCATATTGTTCACTTAATTAATTCAGTCAATTGTTATGTACCCATTCGGTTTTAGGTCTCCAAGGAAAGAGAGTATAAAAGTAGCTGGTATCTTTCCCATGGACACATCATAGTGGGAATTAAAGTCAAGCCCTTTCAGTTGTCTGTTTTTTTACCAACCCTCTGCACACGGACCTGACAGACCCCCTCCAAAAAAGAGAAGAGCTTAAGTTAAACAGACAGAGTTTTTCAAAGGTAAAGAACACTAACCTCATATCGTTGATGATAACCTGCCTCACTGACGCTGTTACACTAGAAAATTTCTGCATCAGCTGTTTTAAGAGACAAAAATGATATGTTATTGTCGAATGCAAATCAGTAAAAATTTTGGTACTACACATGTACCCAGACACATAGTTACAGAGTTTCTTTAACATAAAGAACTGATTCACCGGTAGGAAACAATGGTATGAAACAGTTACGGTTACTTAGCTTCTTACAAATATTTGGTGGCAAGGGAAGTATGATGCCATAATAAAATACCTTCCTTCTCTGGGATGTGAAGATCATAATTTTGTTTTAAGATATAATGAAAGTAGTACTGGTCACCCTTTGTTAGAGAACTTTATATTAGGCGAGTAGATTTGGGCTGTTTTCCACAATGTGGAATAAGATGCCAATCTCTGTACGTGAGCAAGAAAACAGACATGTTTACTAATTACTTTTGAGTACTGATATCTACTTGTATGTAACAAGAATGCAGTAATACACTGAGGTATACTGACAAAAAGAGTTACTTCTCAGTTAGCGAATGGAAATATCAGCCGAAAATCCATTCAGAGGTCAAATTTGTTGATTTCAATTGAAGTTATTTCCTTCAATTTTTACATGAGTTAAAATTCAAGAAGTAAATTATTTTGTCAATATGGCTCACATTATCACAGGAATTTGACATTGTGCTACTGTTGTTTCTGAGAAAAACGAGGCATATGAAGAAACAATAATATATAAATGATTACATTTTTAGGAAGCCCTTGCCTGGAGTGAGAACAGAAGTTTGACGTGTAATCAGGATAATAAAGACACCCATATTTTTAAATGAAATACATCCATGAAGGCTGCACTAAGAAACAGTTATTATGTTCTCACCGCCGGCTCCACTTTCGCTTTGAGTTCTAAGTAGTCCTGCCCTTGCTTGTTGTCCAAGTCTTTACCAGCAGCCGTGTACTGTAAGGTTGTCTCAAATGTGGAATTGACTGCCTCTGTTTGAAGCAGAAAAGTGTCGAAATGGTGAAAAGTGACCTCTACTAATCTGAAGTCATTGCTCATCATCGCTCGTGGCTTTCTTCTGTGATCCCTATTGTATCTATCAAAAGTGTCCCCCACCACAGCCCACCGTTCTTATTATTTTTATTTTAGTCAACTAGCTGGATACTTGTTGTCCAAGTAGCTAGCCCAAGGCTATCGGGCATGACCTTGGAATTGATAAAATATCACTCTCGCCTACTGAGAGGAAGTGACACACCCCTATCTATGTAAAAACAAAAAACCCTCAACCTAATTTTCTTTTCCTCAGTATTTCACTTGAAATGGCTTAACCCTTAAGATTCTGGTCCCTGATAAATGTTTGCCCGATAAGCGCAATCCCGCGCGGCGCTCCTCAGCTGGTCCCTGATCAGTCATCGTCCTGCGCGGGCAACGCATTTCGTTTACGGCGGGGTCTGCATCTGTGTGCTAAAATGTGTGTGCGTCAATCTGCTTGTGCCTGAGTGTCCATCTGAAACTTACTGCATTGTTTTGCAATGCGAGGCGTTGGTAGAGATAACAGAGCGTCAGTTGAGACGTTCATCCAATGAAATATGAGCATTTTGACCCAGTTAGACACTTGAGGGACTCGAAAGGATATTCAGGAAATAGGACTTTCATCTTTCAATGCAAACACCTTTCCTCACTTTTCAAACGATCTAATTCTTACACCAAACGTTGTTTCCTGATGTAAATAATCATATTTGGTGGTTTTTGAACCATTGTCCTACCAGAGGGAGACATTTGAGAGCAACTGAATAAAAAAAATATTCGGAAATTATCCCATTTTTTTCCCCTTTCGAACGATAGCTGATAAGCAGCTGTTCGCAAGTTCATTCATAATAGGTGTGAAATCTGGAAAACTCTGGAAAAGTTATTCGATTTGGTGAAACTTCCAATCTCAGCGTCTCTGATCTACCGACGAGGGGATAATGGGATTATTCGTGTGATCGTAACATTTATTCATTGATCGTATCAGTTTGCTATAAAAGATGAGGTGTTTTCCTGACCTGCCGCGGCACGCTCGCGTGACCAGTGCCTGACCCCGGTGCCCCGCGGCACAAGCCCACAGGCGACGTAAGTGGGTCATCGATCGATAAGAGCCCTCTTCCGGTTAACCCCGCAGGACTAGAGTTAAGTATAGATCTACCTTGCTTACGACAAGCAAAATTGTTCGATTGGTGAAAGTTCTTTTCAGAGGTGTTCTTTGCGAATACCTAATTAGCTCAGAAACACAGCTCTCTCATAAACAACAAATACAAATGCAGAATGAAATCTCTGCTCAAGAAATTATTGTTTTCTTATAAATGATGGACAGGCTCAGAATATAATATCAATAGCAAGTGACGTACCGTAGCAAAGATTAGAATTAGTCTCATCAACTGCATATCCGTCATTGCAGGAGCATGTGTAGCCACCGTCGCGGTTTGTACACACTTGAGCACAAGGTGAAGGACTGGCTTCACATTCATTCACATCTGAGGAAATAAGCACATAAACATTTTCTATTACAAGGTCAGTTGAGACCTCAGTGAGCAGCTTATGCCATATTTAATATTTTTTATTTGTGGGGTTAAGATAAAGACAGTAGTAAGATCTCCAATTTCACCATCCATCTCACATTATAAGAAACAGAAGAAACATTAATCAACTTGAAAATGGTGAAAATTAAGGAATGATTTCAAAGCATGTTCCCTTGCACTGCAATAAAATCTGCAGTGAATTATTGTGTGAGGAGGACCAGACAATTATAGGCACATGAGCAAGTGATGTTTAATGTGTTCGAATTTCTCAATCAAAAGTAGTTTGGGTTCAAATGAGAGGCATTTTCATTTCTTTGATGCCATACAGAAGAAATGCTGAAAAATTCCAGGAAAATACACTGTATTTACCAAGTAAACATTGTGCAAAAGGGCCGATTTATTCAAACACAGGCCTGTATCATCTATGATCTCTCCAACTTATTGTTTGCCAAACAAGTTATGATGCTGTGAAGAGCCTAGCATACAGCATGTTTTGATTCCACAGCCCAGCGTGCAATTCATTACGTACATCTATGTCAAGACAAGCTTATCATTGTAATATTGGTCAGTGGCCAAGGAAAAAAGTAACTGCGATGTGTTTGTATCTCTACTGACGCTCCACACTCAGACCGCTTGTGCCCCCTACCCCTAGACACACAGTCACATGTCATACATGTGCTGGCTGCCCGTCCGACCCCAACACATACTAAGACATGTGTGCGTGCTAACAACCCGTGTGTTGGTATTAAAGAAGGTTGCTGATTGGTCGCATAAGATATAAACAATAGGATGAACGAATAACCATTCACGATGCAGGTGTCATAGATGGTTTTTCAAGAACAGATAAGGTTTGTTGCAGGTGAAAATGAGCAAAGCCACATAGTTGAAGTCGAGCTAGTTCATATAATTAGGTGTTTGTTGAATCCGAGTTATTTTTATTGATTTTTATGAATAAAAGAAACAGGGAATCCAACTCCTTTCATTGAATCCGAGTTTTATTGAATACACAAGTTCCACTGTATCAACAGCAAGTGACGTACCGATGCATAGGCTAGAATTAGTCTGGTCAACTGCATATCCGTCGTTGCAGGAGCATGTATAGCCACCGTCGCGGTTTGTACACACTTGAGCACAAGGTGAAGGACTGGCTTCACATTCATTCACATCTGAGGAAATGAAAACATAAACATTTTCTATTACAAGGTCAGTTTACACTTCAGTGGGCAGCTTATGCCAAATTTAACATATTTTTTCTGTGTATGTGTGTGTGCGTGGGGGAGGGGGGAGGGGTGTTGATTGCTGATTGGTCGCATAAGATATAAACAATAGGATGAACGAATAACCATTCACGATGCAGGTGTCATAGATGGTTTTCAAGAACAGATAAGGTTTGTTGCGAGTGAAAATGAGCAAAGCCACGTCGTTGAAGTTGAGCTAGTTCATATAATTAGGTGTTTGTTGAATCCAAGTTATTTTTATGGATTTTTATGAATAAAAGAAACAGGGAATCCAACTCCCTTCATTGAATCCGAGTTTTCATTGAATACACAAGTTTCACTGCATCAACAGCAAGTGACGTACCGATGCATAGGCTAGAATTAGTCTGGTCAACTGCATATCCGTCGTTGCAGGAGCATGTATAGCCACCGTCGCGGTTTGTACACACTTGAGCACAAGGTGAAGGACTGGCTTCACATTCATTCACATCTGAGGAAATGAGCGCATAAACATTTTCTATTACAAGGTCAGTTTACACTTCAGTGGGCAGCTTATGCCAAATTTAACATATTTTTTATGTGTATGTGTGTGTTCGTGGGGGAGGGGGGGGGTGTTGATTGCTGATTGGTCGCATAAGATATAAACAATAGGATGAACGAATAACCATTCACGATGCAGGTGTCATAGATGATATTCAAGAACAGATAAGGTTTGTTGCGGGTGAAAATGAGCAAAGCCACGTCGTTGAAGTATCCGAGTTTTCATTGAATACACATGTTCCATTGTATCAACAGCAAGTGACGTACCGATGCATAGGCTAGAATTAGTCTGGCCAACTGCATATCCGTCGTTGCAGGAGCATGTATAGCCACCGTCGCGGTTTGTACACACTTGAGCACAAGGTGAAGGACTGGCTTCACATTCATTCACATCTGAGGAAATGAGCGCATAAACATTTTCTATTACAAGGTCAGTTTACACTTCAGTGGGCAGCTTATGCCAAATTTAACATATTTTTTATGTGTATGTGTGTGTTCGTGGGGGAGGGGGGGGGGGTTGATTGCTGATTGGTCGCATAAGATATAAACAATAGGATGAATGAATAAACATTCATGATGCAGGTGTCATAGATGGTTTTTAAGAACAGATAAGGTTTGTTGCGGGTGAAAATGAGCAAAGCCACGTCGTTGAAGTATCCGAGTTTTCATTGAATACACATGTTCCATTGTATCAACAGCAAGTGACGTACCGATGCATAGGCTAGAATTAGTCTGGCCAACTGCATATCCGTCGTTGCAGGAGCATGTATAGCCACCGTCGCGGTTTGTACACACTTGAGCACAAGGTGAAGGACTGGCTTCACATTCATTCACATCTGAGGAAATGAAGACATAAACATTTTCTATTACAAGGTCAGTTTACACTTCAGTGGGCAGCTTATGCCAAATTTAACATATTTTTTATGTGTATGTGTGTGTTCGTGGGGGAGGGGGGGGGTGTTGATTGCTGATTGGTCGCATAAGATATAAACAATAGGATGAATGAATAAACATTCACGATGCAGGTGTCATAGATGGTTTTTAAGAACAGATAAGGTTTGTTGCGGGTGAAAATGAGCAAAGCCACGTCGTTGAAGTATCCGAGTTTTCATTGAATACACATGTTCCATTGTATCAACAGCAAGTGACGTACCGATGCATAGGCTAGAATTAGTCTGGCCAACTGCATATCCGTCGTTGCAGGAGCATGTATAGCCACCGTCGCGGTTTGTACACACTTGAGCACAAGGTGAAGGACTGGCTTCACATTCATTCACATCTGAGAAAATGAGCGCATAAACATTTTCTATTACAAGGTCAGTTTACACTTCAGTGGGCAGCTGATGCCAAATTTAACATATTTTTTCTGTGTATGTGTGTGTGCGTGGGGGAGGGTGGAGGGGTGTTGATTGCTGATTGGTCGCATAAGATATAAACAATAGGATGAATGAATAAACATTCATGATGCAGGTGTCATAGATGGTTTTTAAGAACAGATAAGGTTTGTTGCGGGTGAAAATGAGCAAAGCCACGTCGTTGAAGTATCCGAGTTTTCATTGAATACACATGTTCCATTGTATCAACAGCAAGTGACGTACCGATGCATAGGCTAGAATTAGTCTGGTCAACTGCATATCCGTCGTTGCAGGAGCATGTATAGCCACCGTCGCGGTTTGTACACACTTGAGCACAAGGTGAAGGACTGGCTTCACATTCATTCACATCTGAGGAAATGAGCGCATAAACATTTTCTATTACAAGGTCAGTTTACACTTCAGTGGGCAGCTGATGCCAAATTTAACATATTTTTTCTGTGTATGTGTGTGTGCGTGGGGGAGGGTGGAGGGGTGTTGATTGCTGATTGGTCGCATAAGATATAAACAATAGGATGAACGAATAACCATTCACGATGCAGGTGTCATAGATGATATTCAAGAACAGATAAGGTTTGTTGCGGGTGAAAATGAGCAAAGCCACGTCGTTGAAGTCGAGCTAGCTCATATAATTAGGTGTTTGTTGAATCCGAGTTATTTTTATTGATTTTTATGAATAAAAGAAACAGGGAATCCAACTCCTTTCGTTGAATCTGAGTTTTCATTGAATACACAAGTTCCACTATATCAACAGCAAGTGACGTACCGATGCATAGGCTAGAATTAGTCTGGTCAACTGCATATCCGTCGTTGCAGGAGCATGTATAGCCACCGTCGCGGTTTGTACACACTTGAGCACAAGGTGAAGGACTGGCTTCACATTCATTCACATCTGAGGAAATGAAAACATAAACATTTTCTATTACAAGGTCAGTTTACACTTCAGTGGGCAGCTTATGCCAAATTTAACATATTTTTTCTGTGTATGTGTGTGTGCGTGGGGGAGGGGGGGGGGGGGTGTTATACAAAAACAGTACGGCATTAAATTTCACCAACCATCTCACATTAGATGAAGCAGAAGATGTGCTAATTACCCTGAAAATGGCTAAGATTCACAAATGATTTTAAAGCATGTTCCCTTGCACTGCTATAAAATCTGCAGTCAATTTCTGTATGAGATCACCAGACAGTATGTTCTTGTACAATCATATTATTTATGTTCCATTTAAAAATGTCTAATTCTACATTTAAAAATCGTTTATCCATCTATGACTAAAGTGACCGAAGCAAACTTTTTAAAATTCAGGTGTGCCTATGGGCACCTACGAGGATAGTTAAAAGCACCAAGGAAAAGTCAACTGAGTGAAAGGACAATTGAAAATAAAAAAGAATGGAAAATTGTGTTTGCTGACCAGGAAAAAGCATTTGACTGACCATAGTGTACACAGAAACAAACTAAGGCAAACACTTGAAGAGTGCAGTATCAGGGGACAACTGCTGGGCAACATCAGAGCCATCTACACCAACAGTGAGAGCACAGTCACTACCCAAAATGGACAGATTAACTAGTTCGACAGGTCATCTGGAGTGAGGCAAGGGTGTGCGTTATCATCATCTACTTCTCATCATATACATGGACAAAATCATGGAAGAAGCAAACCTCAACCCAAAAGACTCGAATGAGATGCTGTTTGTACATGACCAAAGCTGACATATAAGAAAAAAGAGCAACTTCAAGAGTCCACAGACAGTCTGAATACACAGTGTGAAAAGCTCAACATGAAGATCAGCAAAAGCAAAACCGAAACGATGAAGGTCAGCAGAACACCTGGCAACCTAAATATCAACATCGATGAAACTCCATTAACCCTATCTGTACATCGTGTTTTACTATCATATCCATATGACGTGGGCAACTCAGAGCCACCACTTTCCAAAGAGGACATTTACTCGTTAATCCGATCCGTACGCTTTGTATAGCAGTCTGTCAAAATGACTTTTTGAGAAATACTGAAAGTTTCAAAGAGATCTTTGCACTAGAAGTATTCTAAAATATGAAGAATACAACCCCGGGGGTACAAAATGACCCCAGGGTGTACGAACAGGGTTAAAACAAGTCAGCCAGTTCAAGTATATTGGCAGTATCTTCTTGGAAGACGGAAGTTTCAATAGAAAAACTGAGACGAGAATACAGAAGGTTAGCAGCGTCAGCTACCACCTTGCCCCACTCCTCAAACACCCTAACACCCCTATTTACGACCAAAGCCAAGCTCATTGACTTTATCTTTATCCCCACCTTGACATACAAATGCCAGACATGGACTTTGACCAATAGTCTGGAACACCAGAGATGAGATGTCTGAGGAGAGCCATCAACAAAACCATATGGGACATGATCAGAAGCACGAGGATCAGAGAAATGGTGGGAACAACACCTGTCTTCCACTACATTATAAGGCAGACAATCAGGTGGTTTGGACATCTGACATGTATGGCACCTCACCAGCTTGCCAGTAAAGCCTACAACAAAAGAATTTTTTTTTAGGAGAGGTTTTACGGCACCAGAAGATTAGAGGTGTTACAAGAGAGTAACAAACACAAAAAAGAAGAAGGAGAGATAAGGAAGATAGATGTTTCATAGAAAAAAAGAAGCAAACCACATCAGAGCACCCGCCAACCACCCACAACAAAAGAATATCAGGGTAACAGGCAAGAAGGAGACTAAAAAAGACCAGGATCGAGGTGTGAAGGATACGCTGAAGACCAACAACATCTTACCAAGCCGGGCAATCCAGCTTGCCACAGACTGAAAGCTCTTTCTCCACTCGACTCAACAGACAGTACAAGAGGAACGATAAAGTAAAGTGAAGTAAAGTAAAGTAAAGAGAAGTGAAGTGAAGTGAAGTGAAGTGAAGTGAAGTGAAGTGAAGTGAAGTGAAGTGAAGTGAAGTGAAGTGAAGTGAAGTGAAGTAAAATAAAGTAAAGTAAAGGAAGAATTCAGGCGTTAGTTTTGCAATTTCAATAACTCCTGTACTGTAAACTCATGTAATTCTCTGTGGCAATAACATGGATACAAAAGGGCTAATTGGGCATAAAAATGTCACTTTACAACTGTTGTACTAGATAATAATAATAATAATAATAATAATAATAATAATAATAATAATAATAATAGTTCTCTTTGATAAACAGATGATGACCTTTAACATCTAAGAAGGAAAAGAGGTTATAGACCTTGCTAGCACTCTTGGTAAAGAGAGAAAAAAAGTAACGGAAATGATAGCATGAAGCTTGGAATGGTCACAAATGCCAAAACTCACCACAGAACTCATCATTTTCCTACAAATGATGGACAGACTAAAAATATAAAATCAACCGTAAGCGACGTACCGTTGCAAAGACTAGAATTACTCTGGTTAACTGCATATCCGTCGTTGCAGGAGCATGTGTAGCCACCGTCGCGGTTTGTACACACTTGAGCACAAGGTGAAGGGCTGGCTTCACATTCATTCACATCTGAGGAAATGAGCGCATAAACGTTTTCTATTACAAGGTCAGTTTAGATCTCAGTGAGTAGCTTATGCCAGATTTAACATCTTTTCGGGGGTTGGGATTGGGTGAGGTGGGAGGGGGGGGGGACGTTTAATATAAAGACAGCTGGACCTCCAATTTCACCATCCATCTTACATTAAAAGAAGTAGGAGATGTAATAATCATCAAGAAAATGGCTTAAATTAACAAATGATTTCAAGCCATTTCCCCATGCACTGCTGTAAAATCTGCAGTCAAATACTGTGTGAGAAGGATCAAACAGTTTGTTCTTGTATAATCATATTACTTATGGTCCATTCAGAAGTAAACTAGTTTTACATAGAAAATCATCTCTTAATCTGTGACTCGAGCGACAGAAGCAAACTTTTTATAATTCAGGCGTGCCTACAGGAATTAGTTTTTCAATTTCATGAAATGTGAACTCATTTAATTCTCTGTGGCAATAACATCGAAAAAACAAGCCTAACTGAGAACAAAAAAATCACTTTACAACTGTTGTAAATGATAATAATAATAATAATAATAATAACAACAGCAACAAAAATAGTAGTTTATCTATCATGTTCTGATGAGGACCTTTAACATTCAAGAAGGAAAAGAAGTTGAAGTCCTTGCTAATACTGTAGACATCTCGATTGGTAAAGAAAGAAGTAAATGAAATAACAGCATGCAACTTGGAATGATCAAAAATGCCAAAAGCTCAACATAGAAATTATCATTTTCCTATAAATGATGGACAGACTCAGAATATAATAACAACAGCAAGTGACATACCATAGCAGAGGTTAGAATTAGTCTGGTTAACTGCATATCCGTCGTTGCAGGAGCATGTGTAGCCACCGTCGCGGTTTGTACACACTTGAGCACAAGGTGAAGGACTGGCTTCACATTCATTCACATCTGAGGAAATGAAAACATAAACATTTTCTATTATAAGCTCAGTTGAGACTCCAGTGAGCAGCTTATGCCAGATATAGCATCTTTTCTGTGGTATTGATATAAAGACAGTAGGACCTCCAATTTCACCATTCATCTCACATTAAGTGAAATGGAAGATGTACTGTTAATCACCCTGACAACAGCTAAAATTAAGGAATGATTTCAAACCATGTTTCCTTGCACTGCTGTAAAATCTGTAGTCACTTACTGTGTGAGAAGGATCAAACAGTTTGTTCTTGTAATCATATTACTTATGGTCCATTCAGAAGTAAACTAGTTTTACATAGAAAATCATCTCTAAATCTGTGACTCAAGCGACAGAAGCAAACTTTTTATAATTCAGGCGTGCCTACAGGAATTAGTTTTTCAATTTCATGAAATGTGAACTCATTTAATTCTCTGTGGCAATAACATCGAAAAAACAAGCCGAACTGAGAACAAAAAAATCACTTTACAACTGTTGTAAATGATAATAATAATAATAATAATAATAATAATAATAATAATAATAATAATAAGAAGGAAAAGAAGTTGAAGTCCTTGCTAATACTGTAGACATCTCGATTGGTAAAGAAAGAAGTAAATGAAATAACAGCATGCAACTTGGAATGATCAAAAATGCCAAAAGCTCAACATAGAAATTATCATTTTCCTATAAATGATGGACAGACTCAGAATATAATATCAACAGCAAGTGACATACCATAGCAGAGGTTAGAATTAGTCTGGTTAACTGCATATCCGTCGTTGCAGGAGCATGTGTAGCCACCGTCGCGGTTTGTACACACTTGAGCACAAGGTGAAGGACTAGCTTCACATTCATTCACATCTGAGGAAATGAAAACATAAACATTTTCTATTATAAGCTCAGTTGAGACTCCAGTGAGCAGCTTATGCCAGATATAGCATCTTTTTTTTGTGGTGTCGATATAAAGACAGTAGGACCTCCAATTTCACCATTCATCTCACATTAAGTGAAATGGAAGATGTACTGTTAATCACCCTGCAAACAGCTAAAATTAAGGAATGATTTCAAACCATGTTTCCTTGCACTGCTGTAAAATCTGTAGTCACTTACTGTATGAGAAGGATCAAACAGTTTGTTCTTGTATAATCATATTACTTATGGTCCATTCAGAAGTAAACTAGTTTTACATAGAAAATCATCTCTTAATCTGTGACTCAAGCGACAGAAGCAAACTTTTTCAGGCGTACCTAAAGAAATTGGTTTTTCAATTTGGGGCTCTCTGTACTTTTTTTGATTGACAGTTAAATTTAAACGCCAACACACACGACAAAGTTCATTCAGAGACTCTCTATGCCTTTCATATGTGTGACAAACCCATTGGAGTTTAACAATTTTTACTCAGGAATACAATTCACTAACTGATTGCCAGTCACTACAAATTGCTGGAAAAACAAAATTCACATCATTAGAAAATATGATTTGATGGCTATCACACCGCGTAAACAGAAATAAACACCAATGTTTCATTTTGGAATGATTTGTAGTTAAATTTGAAGAGATCACATTATTAATAGCGTTTCCGTTCACTTAACACTGAAAATTTAAAACTGTTATTATTCCCAAACGAATCAATGAAAACTGTTGAAACTTTCACAAGATACCAAGAAAACGTAGACAAAGCGAAATTGGTGAAGAAAAAGATTCTAGGGGTAGAGTGAGTATCATTTCACGGCTCATGAAATTAGGGGTAGAAACGCGTTCTGATAATGACAAGATAGGACAATCCCGTGCACGAGTTGACCCCGGTCAATCCCAGACCTGACGTGTGAAATTGTAGGTGACCTGGCGGTGATTTATGGCCTACTGCGGGGGGCCCAGACTAACTAAAAGATCGCTGAGATGGAATTTTGGACGCCGTGTGTGGTATAGATTTTCTAGGACAACATGATAGTCAACATTTTTATCACACCCATACACGCATGCACGCACACACACAGAATTTCTTAGTTTCAAAAGAATGGAGTGTGCAAGATTTTTCAGTACTTCACATTGATGTTAATACACTGATATATATCATGATTCATCCTACAGTCAACAGACTCATATTTTGAGTTTCCTGGTGATCTGGTTAAAAGGACTCACCCACACATAAAGAGTTGTTCATATAGTAGCCAGGATTACAGATACATTGATGGCTGCCTGCTGTGTTCTGGCACTGTGCATTGTCCGGACATGGGTCTGAGTCACACTCATCCTCATCCACCTCACAGGGAACAACTCACATTTATAGACATGTTGAGAACACTGAGGGGATAAATATGGACAAGGACATTTTATACATGTACTTCTAGTTGAAGTCTTTGTTATCAAAAACATTCTCTGGGCTGACAAAAAAACCTGATAAACAAAGGCTCTCCTTATGTCTCTTACCACATGAAATACATAATCAATGCCATGGATGTTAAACACTTGATATATAATATAATAAAACCAGCACATCTTAATAATAATAGTAAGGAAAAAATGGATGAGTCTTTTTATCTAAAATGTTGTACAATAAAATAAAAATGTTAAATGTGTTGCAGCTTGGTGAAATCAAGCGCTCGTCAAAATAATGAAAGGGAAGAAACTGGCATTTTTCCCTTAGGTTTGGGAATTCGAATCGAATTTTTGTTTTTTGGCTCAACAACTTTTCATGTCCATTAACTGATTCCATCTATGATTTTTTTCAGGCTGTGGACAGAATTATTTTTCCCTGTTCAGTTTTTTTACCTGGGGTGCATCTATTTAATGCATTACTGTGAAGCTCTAATTATAAGTTACTCTAATATGTATTGTCATACCAAACTGATGGGGATCAATACAGGAATCTGTTTATATCAATAACAATTACCTATATTATGTTTGTATCATATTTTCCCTCAGACAAAAACGAAAGAGAAAAAAAAATTGCCCAACATCTCTTCGAAAATTTCAACTTACCTCATTTTCTCAGCTCTACAAGTCCTTATAATCCAAAGGAATCAACACAAAATTGTTGCGATATCATCCTTGCACACATTTATGCAAGAATTTCACAAATTGAGTTAACACCTTTCACAGAAGGGCTTTTTTATTATACCATGCTCCGTGTTGTTTACCCTTATATTACAACAACAAAACAACGACTTTTGCAAGAATTTCGTGGAGTTTCGATCGATTTTGGCACTCAGAGATTGAGGTCAGGCTTGTTTACAAGTTCTACTTCCTTTCGACAACTTAAAAAGCAGGAAATTCGGATTTCGTTGAGCCGCTCACAGCGGTCGAATGGCAGCAGCGGAAAAACCCAGAGCTGCTGACAGCTGCTGCATGGACGGAATCAGTTAAAGAACTCATTTCTGTGTGGATTTTACTGAAAAACTTTGATTAAAGGCATGAAAGATGAAAATTTTCACTTTCTACGGACTCTCAAACTAGGGAAAGAACCTAACTTTGGCGGCCATTTTCTTGCTAATTTGACCTTTGAAACCAGGCAACCCCCACCTCCTTCAATCTCCAATACCTTGACTTGCATCCCTGCTAAATGGATATCGTTTCCATCAAAAGTATGGCAATTAGACAGGCTTTAAGATGACATTAATAACTCCATATGCCCCAAAACTGACAAACACCTGGTTCTACTGCATCAGGACACAAATGTTTTTTAAAAGAGTATGTAGCCCAAACCTTATTGCAGGATTCTATGTTGGTCTGGTTACAGCTGCAAGTAAGAGCACAGTCTTGGCCATAAGAACCTTTATCGCAATCTGTGAACAGAACCCATGAGGAAGATACAGGTGAAGGAACAACATTCAACTTATCCACAACATTCAGGATTTTTAACAAAATACAAAATAAAGAACTATTAAGAAGATATATTTTGAATGACAGCTGAACCAATTACAATCTTGCTCCACAGAAATTATTCATATCAATTAATTACAAAATGTTAAGGATATTTCAGTTTTATGAATGGCAATCTCCACCAACCCATTCCAATCCAGAATGTCTTAGCTTTAACAAAATGCAGTGTGTAAGGAGATTTTCCAATTCTTCTCACATATATTAACTCATTTCAGATGGTTCACACAACAGTTGCGTGACCCCCGCCATGACGCTCGCGACGGTTCCCACAAGCCCTGCGTGATTATCTTTGGAATTTATTTTTCGCTCAACAAATTACGCATGGATCGCATGACCTGCCTCGTACCCTTGTTTAGCCAAGCCTGAGCTACTTAGACCATTTCGTATCTCTGGGAACGGTAGTTTTTAAGTTAATGAAGGTGAAGGATTGTCATCCCAACTGGGGTTGAACTGACCGGAACTCATGCTATGCTTTTTCCTATACAGCTGACAGTAATCCGACAGTCGCGTCGTAGTAACGGTCTAAGAAGTTGTATGAACAAGAATCCCATAATTTCGCCGTTTTCAATACTTCTGTACGTTTTACTAGTTCTAGTGCGTCAGAATACGATGTGTCTGATAGTTAGGATCCTGGATATGTACCTGAACACTGCCCGAGTCATAGTTTTTGGGCTAGATCTAGCACTAGTACTGGTGTTGTTAGTGCAACGAAATCACAACGTCGTGCCGTACATCTGTCTCATGTAATTCTGTGTAGTCTGAATTAACGCACAGACCAGCTTTAATATTTTCACCAAACACTCACACATGCATACAAATCAAAACAGAACACTTTGAACTTGTATTTTTGTTGTTGTTGTGAATTTCATTCTACCTGTCATGTTTCTGAAAAATTTTTTGAAAATCAAATTCATGCCAATTTTTAAAAAATCATACAAATTAAAGTATAAGACTTCGACAACTTTAGTTTTTTGTATTAGATTAAGCTTGAATGTTACTTTACTTTGTCAAAAAAATAATTACAATAGGGTAATTCTGAGAGTTGAGGTGGTTTATTGAAATACTCCCAAAAACGCCAGTCTTCAACGTTTGTGACTGGTGAAAGGGCCCAATAGTAAGTGAGTTAATACACTGACGTCATAATGCAATCTACAGTCAACACACTCATACTCTGAGTTTCCTACAGAACTGATTAAAAGGACTCACCCACACATAAAGAGTTGTTCATATAGTAGCCAGGATTACAGATACATTGATGGCTTCCTGCTGTGTTCTGGCACTGTGCATTGTCTGGACATGGGTCTGAGTCACACTCATCCTCATCCACCTCACATGAGCTTCCTGTCCAGCCACGTTTACAGTTACATGTGCCATTTACCTGGGGGTGGGAACGACTCACATCTATAGAAATGATGAGAACATTGAAGGATCAACATGGACACGGTAATGTGACGCTTCTAGCTGAATTCTTTTTCATTGAAAACATCATCTTGGCTGATTAAAAACGTTGATGAACAAAAAAGGCTCTTTTCCTATAGGTTTTATCACATGACATGCGCAATGATAGGCATGGAAGGTAGAGTTAAACATGTAATGTAAAGTGAAATCCACATATCTTAACCCTGGAAGCGCGCAGGCCCTATATAAAGGGCGTGAGCCGGGCTACCCGGGAAGCGCGCACGCCCTATATATAAGGCTGACCTACTTCGACCGGGAAGCGCGCAGGCCCTATATAAAGGGCATAGACGCTGACCCTTTTCAATGGAAAATTCCAGTATTCCTTATATGGAAAATGACGTAGTCAATTACAGGCCAAAGTTATAAATAGTGACCAATGACTTTGCAAGTTATCTTGACCTCGTAGAGCGTCTCTTGGCCGAGATATCGATCGATAAAGTGACGCGGTCCCGCTGAGCGACTACACGCTATGTGTTATCACTTGTTTCGCCGTGCTGATGTACTAATTGTTGAGTCTATCGCGTTCTCGGCATTGTTTGTATTTATTTGATCGCTGATCATTTTTGAATGGCTCATTCTATCAGCTTAAAGAAAATATATGCTTTTATATGCTTTTTATCATCCGTTGAGCCGTAAATGGTCATTTTTCAGTAGCAGGTATACATTTTGGGTATCTCAGCTGTTTCCTCCCCCCCCCCGCCAAACCTCCATGTTTACAACTGATCGGCCGTGGCGGCGGGGCATTTTTGGCGGGTTACTTTCGGTGAAACGCTGAGCGCTTCTAGGGTTAACAATTCCGTGGGAACAGTCTATAAAAGGACTGGTGGGGCCCACGTGATGTCTCTGTCATAGTCGAACCCTGTTATAGATGAGGATAATGTTTACTAACACTGTAACTAATGATTAACTTCTAACCAGTGGGATTATGTTTATTACAAAGATTACCCACCACCAATAAACAAGTTATTTCTCCATTCTTTTCCGCTGATATTTTTGCTCCTCATCCTGTTCTCTTTTTTTTCTTTTTCTTTAGTACCTTAGTCTCATGAAGGTTGACTAGGCATTATTTGAGACACACAGGTAGTCTAATGAAAATAATTGCATTTATTAAGCCCAGACCATGCTTTACAGCAGGCTCTATGCATAATTTAAAACTATTCATAATCAAATAGTTACCACAATTGCGAAAAGGAACACACTCATATCTATGGTAGATCTAGCGCCCAATGCCTACTTTTCATTCAATTATATGTTCCCATTACACAGCTAACAAGAAAACAATATGACAATGTAGTACAAGACCAAGGTCACGTGAAGGCAATCTAGTCACTGATTAGAAAGGGAATTAACAGCAAAGTGCATCTAGCTTTTCCTCTTCCACCCTGCATTTATGACATGATACATTATAAAATGTGTAAAATTTACATAATCAACTTAGGTTTCTTGTGGGTCATGTGGGTACAATTCACTGTGGATGTCGTTTTTGATTCATTAGCTTTTTTCTGCTTCCCTGTACATTTGTTCTAGGATTTCGTGAATAGTTGGACCACTGAAATAGCTGAGTATACCTATTCTAAATGTCTGATATGAACAATCTTTTTTTACAATTTATTATAAGAGATTGGGCTCAGGGATTTATTATAAGCCTGCTTTAGCTGAAACCCTGCAATTACCAAAACTGTCATGAGTTAGGTCCACTGTAGTAAGGAAGAAAAGGATAAGTTTTTTTCTCTCATATTATGCAGCGCAATGATGTCAAAGAAGTCAAATGTTTTTACAAAAAGTATGTCGCCCAAACCCAAACCTTATTGCAGGATTCTAAGTTGGTCAGGTTACAGGTGCAAGTAAGAGAACAGTCCTGACCATAAGTTCCTTCAGCACACTCTGTGAACAAAACACAAAAGGAAGATACAGGTGAAGGAACAGCACTTTCGTCTGGACTTTTCATAAAATAGGCCTACAGTAAAAAGAAATATACCCAGTACAAAAATATTTCAAGGACTGCAGAACCTATTAAAATCTTGATCCACAAAAATTATTCATATTAATTTATTAAAAAGCGCATTTATCAGTTTTCATGAATGGTATAACCCATCCCCGCCCATCTACCCATCTTTCATAATTTCTTAGTTTCCACAAAATAGAGAATGTAAAGAGATTTTGCCATACTTCACACTGTTGTTAATACAAAGACATCATGAAGCAACCTACAGTCAACAGAGTCATACTCAGAGGTTCCTAGTGATCTGATTAAATTGACTTACCCTCACAAAAGGTGTTGTTCTTATAGTAGCCAGGATTACAGATACATAGATGGCTGCCTACTGTGTTCTCGCACTTTGCATTGTCCGGACATGGGTTTGAGTCACACTCATCCTCATCCACCTCACAGGAGCTTCCTGTCCATCCACGTTTACAGTTACATTTGCCATTTACCTGGGGGTGGGAACAACTCACATTTATAGAAATGAAGAGAACATTGAGGGATCAACATGCACAAGGGTTGTTACTTGGAACACAAAACAAAGATTTAACACTACTAACCTTCTGTCACATGCTACTATAACAGGAATTAGCCAAACCTGTTCCTCTGCTCTGTGTTGTGATTCTTTCTGCAGCTTTGGGGCCCCGATGCGTTTGATTGGAATCTCACACTTCACGCACAACTGAACCGAAGCTCTAACTAGCCTTTTTCACAACCTATACTGTCAGCAGGCCTCCTCTGCCTTGATACAACTCTCTCCTCTCAAAATCCCACCAGTAGTAACTCAGACTTTTATCAACTTGCAAACAATACAACTGAACACAGACTCACACTTTACTCACTCTCACACTTTCAGCCAAACAATACAATAGGCTAGGCTTAACCCCCTGCCACAACCAAAAACAACCAAATACACCACACGCCCCCATGATCTGAAGATCATAAATCTCAATAAATACCCCCCCAAAAAGCGAACAAATTAAGCGGCACTAAAACCCCACTTAAGAACTGCAACAAGAGAATTCAGACAACAAACACTATATACATCACAAATCAGCAACTTCCACCCACTGCTACCCAACCACATAATCCTCCTGCCACGCTGGTACTTTTCTAACTCGCTGGGGATACCTCGGTGGGGACGCCTCATCAATCACCACACGGTGCTGATTGCTCTCTGCATCATCTTCATCCGAAGTTGCCACCTTCCTTAAGTCTAACACGTGCCTTGGCACATGGTTCACTTCTACGTTGTTTCGGGAGTTAACCTTTGTCACCACACCACGACCCCATTGCGTGGTGCAACGTGCACCTGGTGGTTTAACCCACACTTCATCCCCAACCGTCACGACAGACGGCTCGTTTGTTTCCCCCCATTCCCTCTCTGTCGCTGATGGCTGCCTCCACTTATACGTAAACACTGATTGCTGAGGGATTGTGTCCTGTTCTTGTCTATACCGTGGTGCACTGTTAAAGTAGAAGGCCGCCTCCATAGGGGAAATATTCCCACGTTCTGCCATGGCCTTAATGGACCGGTGATTCCGTTCGACAATACCATTCCCACTAGGTCTATATGCTGCTCTGTAGTAAGGTTGCACATTCCATCCCTCAAGAAACTGAACAAACAATTCTGATTTAAAGGCTGTTGCGTTATCCAAAAGAAGTTCCCTAACTGGACCCCGTTCGCAAAATACCTGATCCAACTCCGCCACTATACACTGCGCTGTTTCACTTCTGAGTTGCCGCCAAATGGTGAACCTCCCAGGACCACAGTCCACCATAGTAAGGTAAGGTATATTGTGAAAATGAGTAACGTCCACTGCAAGCCTCTCCCAGACTGTGCTAACCTCCAAACCCCCTGTTTCGTGTTGTAATGGAGCAGGGTCTATCGACTGACATCTCTCACAATTCTTCACGGCTGATTTCACTTGCTCCTTTGTTATTGTCGGATCAACTTCCTTGGCCAGATACCATGATCGTTCAACCCCCATGTGGTGCTGGTTATGCAGATCCATGACAACGGTACTTGTTGCAGCGCCGATCACAGCTCTCTTCCTACTCATTTCAGGTTTGTTGGTTTGAGCCAACCACTCTTTCTTTACTCTAGTTAAAGAGTCAGCCTTGTTGTCCTTTGAAGGCACGAGTCGGACCTGGACTGTTATCCCTAATTCCTCTATGAGAGTCTTCAGTGTCCCAAGTCTCCACTTTACCAAAATCTCTGCTGGGCTACATGTTCTCACACGTTTCTCCTCCGACATCGTCAACCGGATCCACCCACTAACGGTTGCTGAATCTGTGACCACTGTAATAGTCTCCAGACCCCACTTAATCCCTAGATTGACACCCTATAACACGGCCTCCAGTTCCGCCACATTAATGTGGTGATAATCATCATTCTTCCTCATCCAAGCCCCATCCTCAACAATGACACCATCAATTTCTACCACGACTCCCATGCCGAAGCTGCTGGTGTCACACCACACCACCCCTTCCTTCGCTGACCTAACCCCCCACCTCCCTCGCACTGGATCTTCCTTTCGAATGCAATCAACTACCTCTTCAATCATCAGCTGGGCTCTGTCACCAATGTAATAATTCCACTTATCCCCTTCTGAATGCCGTTTGATAAAATTGCAGGCTATCCGCAGCCAACCAGCCACCGGGTAGTGACCCACCAGTTTACCACAGATTGAGAAAAGCTCCCTCTTACTTAGTTTGCAGCCCACCACTGGAACGTCACTGTTTCGTCCAAATACCAGCATCCCATCTGCGCCTCGTGAGAGCTTCAGACCCAACGCTGCTCCCCCTTCTAGCTCCATGGCCGGCTTTGCCAGTAACCCATATCTCGCCAAATGCGAAATTACTTCTCCTGCTCTCAGCTGCGACACGTCCACAAGAATGTCGTCAATATAAGAGCTAGTGGCTCTATCTATCCGAGGAGACTGTTCCAACACCGTCTTTAACACCTTTGTCATGATTCTTGGAGCGGAATTCAGGCCGAATCCTACCCTTGTCAAGCAATAAATTTTCCCCTTGTACTGCACCAACTGATGCTTCCAGAGATCTGGACTGACACGAAGTTGTAAGTATGCAGCGCTAAGGTCCACAATCTCTGGCTCCCCTTCAATCTTCCGCCACTCTCGCATCCTGTCTGCACAAACATCAATAAGTTCATCTCCTGTGTGGCACTCTACGTACTTGTTCAGCTCACGGAAGTCTAGGACTGGTCGGACTTTGTTTTTCGTAGGCTGCTCGACCGCCATCAACGGGATAATTCCGTCCACCTCCCCATCCCATGGCAGCAGTATTCCGTCCTCAATCCATTTTTCAACTTCTTTGTTGAAAAGCTCCCTCGTTGCTCCCTGCATTCCACTGTCATACATGGCAACCTTGTTCCTCAACTGTGGGGCACAAACGTCCTTCCAAAAGTACCTAACTGTCCATACATTCCCATCGAAGGTTGCCTCAAAATCTTTGTCCTGGATGATAGGTCCATCGGGCCTCTGCATTACCTGTGCTGGAGACCCGCCCACGACAGCGCACGCCACCTTCCCAAACTGTACAGTTTTGTCTCCATTCCAATCACCACGTCGATGCTACCAACGATATCATCAACCACAGTGGCTTGGGCTTCAACACACTCTCCAGCGATCTCAAGTTCAACTGGAGCAGTTCCCTTACATTTAACTATCCTCCCGTCGACTGCTTTGGTGTACACCTCCCCTTTCCAGTCATTCACAAACCGGGACCTGATCATTGTATTAGAACACCCAGTGTCCACGAGCGCACAAAGCCGCCTGCCTTTGCTGTAGACCCTGATAATCGGTACACCCCGCACACCGCCCTTGGATGTAGTAGTTGACTTGCCACTTGCACAGGCTGTCCCAGTCTCTGTACCATTGCCGCTCTTGGCACCCCCTCCCCGATCTCTTGACTCGTTGACCTTGCACCGAGAGGCAATATGCCCCTCTTCCATATGAAACAAACAAGTCGTTTTCTACGTTCTTGGCAATCCAGTAAAAAATGTGGCCCACCACACTGAAAGCACTTGACCCTCCATTTCTTCCCTTTGGACGCCGGCTCCACAGATGGAGCTGCTACACCCATGGAATTCTGAGCCAAAACACGAGCCCTTCCAATAAGGTCGGCCACCCTCATACCCTCAACTCCAAAGATTTGCTGTAACTCCAATCCAACATTGTCCGGGAAACCCGTTATAAATGCTAACTTCACCACCTGCTCTAAGCCATTCCCAGTAAACCCACACAGCCTTGCAAGCCTCCGCAATTCGTTAGCAAATACATCTACTGCTTCACCCGCCCATCTACACTCCCTTAACCTTGCATAGGCAGTAAATTGATTGTCTGCAAAGGCTTCCCACAGACTCTTTTTAATGGCCACAATGTCAGTCTTCTGTTTCGCATCCATCTCCAGATAGACAGCTAAAGCTCCCCCCTCCAGATACAGTGGAATGAAGCTCGCGACATCATCAATGTTCGTCAACTTTGCCACTAACTCTACTTTAGTAAGCCATGCCTCGACATCCCCTTCCCCACAAAAGGGTTTTAACCATATCATGGCCGAAACAGCCGCCACCATCTTTTGCCGCCAAGTTTCTGCTCTTGATAGAGCGCTTCGTCGGGCCCGGCTTCTTCATATCCAGTTCGAAAGTCACAGCAAAGTGATCCGATAAAACCTT